AGCCTTACATGTCTGGCTAATAACCCCTTGTCTGGGTTGTGTATCAACCAGTCGTCTAGGTACGGATTGATGTGTACCGACATTGGTGGAGCAGCAGCACTAACTGATTCATCATTCTGGTGAATACGTAGGGCGCTGTGGATAACCCGATAGAGAGAACCGGAAATTTGAATACTTGGCCCAGATGAGCGAATCGAAGGAGAGGGCAACTCGCTGGGTGCATCGGTATGTGCAGGTAAGCGTCGCATAAGTCTAAAGAGGCTAGCCAGTCGAGCCGGTGGATGGAGAGTAGGACACTGGATGGTGTCTCCATGCGGAACCGATCGAGACGCACATACTGGTTTAGTCTGCTTAGGTCCAGAACCGGACGCCAGCCGCCTGTAGATTTTGGTACTACGAATACATTTGAGTAGAAGCCCGGACTTAGTGCCGGCTGAACTATTCTATGTATGGCGCCCTTTCTTAGCAAACTGTCTACTTCCTGACTGATTGCTTCCGCCTTGCGGGGGTCCCCTGGCAGTGCTGACAGGGGACACTGACAGGGGCGGAGGAGATGTCAGTGGTATTCTGTAACCGCGTGTGACCACCTGGAGCGTCTAGGGATCGGTTACCTGCTGCCTCCAAGCCGGAATGCACCGGCGCAATCTGTGTGCGACAGGGATCTGTGGCCATGGGTTCGGCGGTTTCTCCTTTACTGTGAGGTGAGCCTCCCAGTAGATCACTGGGGTTATTAAGCTGTAGCCTGATCTCTTGCCGAACACAGGCCCATCCCCCCCGTCGCAGAAGTAAGCGTCAAACATGCTTACCCCACTGCCGGGGATGATGACCACCCGAGGAGGAGGAGCCACCACCTGGTCCCCTCTTTCCTGGGGGCACGCCGCTACCCTTCCCTCCCGCGAATGGGTATGAGCGCTTGTCTCCTGGCTGACTCTGTTTAGCGGAGCTAGTCCTTGGGCATTCTGCTTTCTGTGCTTGGGGCGCCCTCCGTTTACCCTTGGCAGCGGCCAACTGGCTAGCGGATTCGACTTGGACCATTTGGTTTGTTACAACCCGAAGCTCTGCGACTGCCCCCGCTATCTCCCCATCAAAGAGGGTGGAGGATCTCCAGTCTGCGTAACTGAAGCGATGGCGCACCCCCTGACTCAGTTCGCCGGCGAAAACACATGCGTCTAGAACCGCGTCTCGCTGCACAGTAGTAGCCCCAGCCAAGAGAGCCATATGACACTGGAGGATATCGCACATAGCCGTACGGTGGCCTACCATTAACTGTGTCTCCTGGTCTAGGAGGCGAGTGCGTTCTGCATCCTGGGTCCTGGGCGCGCACAAGAATGCGCTCCAGTGTGGCGCCCACAAATTCAAAGAAATTGATGGGTCGCAACTCCGCTCTCAGGGCATGTTGGATAGTCTCAGAATGGGTTGATGAGAATGACCATGGAACGCGGCCATCCCCCTTCACCCGGTTGGCAAAACAGAAGTTTGTGGTACTGGGGTCCGGGGAAGGAGCCTTGGGGTCCGGTCGGGGACTTCTGGTTTTGTCCCACGAAATGGGGTCCGAATCCGAGATTGCCCTGATGGGGTAGCGTTTAGTCCAGTGAAAGGAGTTAGGCAAAAGAATGCCCCAGCCCGGGGCTTTCGGCGTTACCTCCTCCGCGGCTGACCAACGACCGTCCCTCAACACCGTCTGTGCGCTGTTCCCCACGCTCAGCGCTCGGCTGGACCAGGGGAGACGTGCGGATGGGGTCGATCTGGATCCTGGCGCCTGTGATCCCATCAGCGTAGAAGCGACCGTAAGTGGCTGCTTTAGGATCGAGGGTGGGGAAAGATACATAGCGTCACCTGGACTGATAATATTCTGCATCACCCCAACGGCGTGGCTCACCGAGTCATTACGCAATGTGGACTCAGAGAGACCGTCCGAGGTACCCACTGTATCCGACGTGAGTGAACTGCCACCTCTTAGCCTAAATATGTGGGCGAGAGCGTGTTCAAGAGTGCGTCTCATGAACCCTGGCTGGTTGAAAGCGGGGGGTGGGGGTGGGGGTGGGGTGGGGTGTGTGTTACAATGTATGTCCTGACCCGAATGCCTTGCCCCGAAAACGGAGTCCTGGCTGGAAACGGGAGGTTCCCCGGAAGAGACGTGTTTAGAATGCGAACGGTGCTTTCTGTGTTTCTTCCTACTTGCCAGCTGAGAGGCCGCAGTGGAGACAGCTCACTCCGCCTGCAGGTGATCTACTCTGCCTGCCAGGGACGCAATTTGCCCTGACAGACCTTCGACCTATACCCTCATTTCAGCGGCAAAACCGGCGCCATGCAAGGATGGGTCCACAACAGGACCCAGTGCGGGCCCCAAAGAAGGAAAGACCTCCAGGGGCACAGCCTCGCTGTTGCCGGTAAAGTTGGGAAACCCACTGTCTGAAAAAACAGACTGTGTAGATGCCCTCCAATCAGCGGGGGGAGGCTGAAAAAAATCGGCACCCCCACTATCGGGCCCTTTGCTTGGTATCCCGGTATGAGAACCGGTAGCCGAGCGCAAGGACTTGTCATTCATGCCAACGCACAACTCACTCATACCCATGCCGGTAGCACTTGCCGCGCGACCTTTTCGGGAACGAGCGACGCGGTCAGTCTTGGCTATTTTGACATGCTGCTGGAAGGATTCCCAGGCTTCCGAACCCCAGCGATTACACATATTCTCTGGGCAGATACCCGAAGTCACGTGAAACAACGATAACATTTTGAATGCGGGTTCCATTCCTGCAATTGCTGCAGAGGAGACAATACCGGCGGTGAGCCTCTGGCGTTGCCAGTGCATCTATCCATTTCTAAATACATTAAAAATAAAAGGCGACATGCATGAGGGAAACGAATTACAGTTGTAAAAGGTGCCGCCATGAAATCAACATGTGACTACGTAGTGGCGCCGGGTTTGATTTCTTTGTTGAGGAAAAGCATAACACACAAAGGGGAAAACGACACAAGGGTAAAAAGACAAGAAAAACTTATCCTACCAGCTAGAATGTCGGATGTCGCGGCTGCGGTGACGACCCACGCTAGAAACCCGGACAGGAAAAAGCAACAGAGCCAGGCAGAACCGCTCAGAATCATTCTCCGTCGAGGCGGAGAGAATTGAAGAGCGATGGATGGCTACCTATGGCGTTGCCATGTGGCCTCGGCCACGTGGGTTCGTGACGTAGGGGGTAAAAGAATCTTAAGGTCATTGGGCTTCCCCTGACCTAGATTCTATCTCTCCATCACCGGCAGAATCGCTGATTAATGCCTACAGTTCAAAATAGTCATTTTGACTGACCGGAGTCTATGGTGGGTAATTGAACATAGTGAACTGCCTCATTGTGTGACTACTGTATTATATGAAAAGTAAAAAAAAAAAAAAACACCCTTTATGAATAGCTATCATGTTGCAAGCTCTGCTTTGTATGCAAATCAACTTAAATAGTTAGTTGGTGTCCAGTGGAGGGAGAAGTCAAAAGTACTGTTGCCTCCTGAGAATCTACATCTTCAAACACTGCAATCTTTGAAGTGTGTTTTTAAACTAGTATTATAAAAACTCTATCATTCTGTTCTAATAGCTGAGACATAATCCTGTGAGTTTTCATTTGTCAGATGAACTGTTTGTCAAATACAGAATACATATATTTTAGAACAATTTTCTTTTTAAAATGTGGATGAAATGTTTTGCTTTTTATGTATTGTTTTTGATTTGATAACTTTGAACTAAACAGATTTTCTATTAGCTTCAGATCTTGATCAAAGT